GCAAATCAGCTTTTGGACCAAAATATATTTTACAAAGAATTTCTGAAAGATCTTTGAGTCATTATTGTTTGGAACGTGTGTGTGTGTGTGTGTGTGTGTGTGTGTGTGTGTGTGTGTGGGTGGTGGTGGGGGTGGGGGTTGGGGGTGTGTGAACATGGTGTAGTGTTTGTGCATTAAAAAGACAACTGTGCGCTCTGTGAATCATTGTGGTAGGATAAGACTTAGACAGATATAACAATAGAACTATCGTCTGTGTATCGTGATGACATTTGAGATTTAGTGATAACCAGAGTACTGTGGTAAACGTCGACAATAACACTACATTTCAGTAGCTTCTGCAGTTAGCCTTAACACAGTGACATGATACAGCATTCCTAAACACTGGCAAGGCAGCGTAGATACAGTTCACTCTGTATGATGCCTCATCTCCTCGATGATTGCACATGTTGTATTTTTGCAAATCAGCTTTTGGACCAAAATATATTTTACAAAGAATTTCTGAAAGATCTTTGAGTCATTATTGTTTGGAACGTGTGTGTGTGTGTGTGTGTGTGTGTGTGTGTGTGTGTGTGTGGGTGGTGGTGGGGGTGGGGGTTGGGGGTGTGTGAACATGGTGTAGTGTTTGTGCATTAAAAAGACAACTGTGCGCTCTGTGAATCATTGTGGTAGGATAAGACTTAGACAGATATAACAATAGAACTATCGTCTGTGTATCGTGATGACATTTGAGATTTAGTGATAACCAGAGTACTGTGGTAAACGTCGACAATAACACTACATTTCAGTAGCTTCTGCAGTTAGCCTTAACACAGTGACATGATACAGCATTCCTAAACACTGGCAAGGCAGCGTAGATACAGTTCACTCTGTATGATGCCTCATCTCCTCGATGATTGCACATGTTGTATTTTTGCAAATCAGCTTTTGGACCAAAATATATTTTACAAAGAATTTCTGAAAGATCTTTGAGTCATTATTGTTTGGAACGTGTGTGTGTGTGTGTGTGTGTGTGTGTGTGGTGGTGGGGGTGGGGGTTGGGGGTGTGTGATGACACTACCAATTTTAATGAAATTATGTGCAAACATTCATGCTCCCCAGATGACGAACCCCACTGACTTTGGTGACCTCTGACTCTTCCTTTAGCGCCACCAGCAGGTTCATATTTGCGGTTGTATGTAAAATTTCTGAACAGCTTTTTAAAGGATTGCCATGAAATCTGGTTCACATATTCATGTCCCCCTCAGGATGAATTGTAATCACTTTGATGATCCCCTGACTTTTTATCTACTGCCAAACTCAGGTCAAAATATTCATTTCCAGTACTTTTTTGTTTTTACTAAATACCATGGACCCTATAAAAGAAGTGGATGTAGACATTGTGACATCACCCATTAGTTTGTTATGCTGTTTTGATGCTGTGAGTTTGGCATTTTGACTGTTGTGATCTTAATTTTTGGTGCCAGAAATGTCCATGTTTGGACCAGAGTGTCTGTAGGTCCATAAAAAAGTCTTAAAATGTCTTATATTCAATTTAATAAATGTTAGGGCCTTAGACAATAGCTCATTCATTCATTTTCCATAACCGCTTATTGTGTTAGGGGTCGCAGAGGGGCTTGAGCCTTTCCTAGCTGACACTGAGTGAGAGGCAGGGACTATCACAGGGCTGACACACAGAGACAGACAACCATTCACTCTCACATTCACACCTACGGACAATTTAGAGTCACCAGTTAACCTGTATGTCTTGGAGAAAACCAAGCTTACACGGGGAGAACACGTAAACTCCACAAGGAAGGGCCCTTCTGTGTGGCCTTGAAAGTAGTAATTTCTAATGTTTGAAATCTTTAAAGGTGCTGAATGTAACTGAGTGAAAGATAGATGATTGTTGACTCTCATTGAGTCCCAACCCAAAGTGTCATCAAATACTGACGCTTTGGGTTGGTGGTTTGGTTAAAAATACATTAAAAAGGTCTAAAAAAAAAAAGCTTTAAATTTGAGCGTCTGTACACACTCTGTTTGAGGGTAGAGCATTTAAAGGGTGAGGACACAATCTGCACACAGCCTGTCACTCAAAGCAGCCTTTATAACAGTTAACCAGGTGGGTTATATAAAAATTCACTCACCATATGGTCGTCATGAACGGGAGAATTAGCTGCAGGGACCAAAACCGTTTTGGCACAAGGCTGTACACATGTCTGTATCTGCTGTAAAGTTGGGCATTTTAGTTCAGTTGGTTTCATTTTCTGGCCCCGGAGGCTGGCGCTTGCTAAATACCTGTAAAACTAATGACATTCCCATCAGCCTTAGCTTTTTATTTTTATTTTAGTGCTAATTAGCATGTAGCAGCACAGTGGTGCAGTGGATAGCATTGTCACCTCACAGCAAGAGGGTTCCTGGTTCAAACATGGGATCGGGGAGTCCCTCTGTGTGGAGTTAGCACGTTCTCCCCATGTCAGCGTGGGTTTCCTCCAGGTACTCCAGCTTCCTCCCACAGTACAAAGACATGGTGACTCTAAATTGTTCGTAGGTGTGAATGTGAGTGTGATTGGTTGTCTGTTTCTTTGTGACACTTTGGTGACCTGTCCAGGGTGCACCCTGCCTCTCACCCAATGCCAGCTGGGATAGGCTCCAGCCCTCCTGGGACTTCTAACAGGATCAGGAATATGATTGACATTATACCTGCAAAACATCAGCATGTTAGCACTGTCATTGTGAACATGTTAGCATGCTGACAGTCAGCCCAAAGCCTCAGAGTGCTGCTTGCATGCTGCAGATTTCTGTATCTTCAGTAAATGGTATTCTCAGGTAGTTTACTGGTAACAAAGGTGTAATTTGCAGGTCTGAATATCAGGTAAACTGTAGATGTTTTTTGTTATAGTTGTTCTAAGATAACATGGTTGAGGGAGGGTGGCTGGTGGCTGCTTTTTGTCTCCCCCTTCCAGAAGATGTGTTTTCGCTGACTGGTTCCTTCCTGTTTCATCAGAGACAGAATTTGCTGACTGGTTCCTACTTGCTTAACCAGAAATTCACCAGAATAGGACAATAGGATTCAGGCAGGATGAGCAGCGAGACAGAAGAAGGGGGCGATGTTGAAGAGGTCAGCAAGCAACAAACTGCTGACGATCTGGAGAGCAGCAGTAGGAACACGCCACTTCCAGGGAGCAGATCCCATTAATCAGTGTGAATCGCAGCCAACACAAACGTCCCTGCGTTCTCTCTCCATATGACGCTGACCTCAGTCGTGACCTTACTGAGGACACATCTAGGCTCGCTGCTGCTCTGGTTTGCCCAATGGCATCATTTCATCAGAGGGTATGAAAAGGTCACATTTGTCACTTTTAAGGACACTCTCTGGTTTAAAGAAGCAGATCTGCTCTGTCTTCACCTGCACGAGCTGAGGTGAAGCCGAACCGCGGCTTATTGTTAGTGTTGAAAGAATGTGATAATGAGGATGTGTGTTTCTAGGTTAAAGAGCCCCCTTCCTCAGTGATGTGCCCCCAGGCGTCCCATCTCTCCTATTCTCTGCCCGTCACTCACCGTGCCCCCATACCACAGGGGGAGGGGGGGCTTCCTGTTATTGTTCTCTGCTATGTGGGGCCTGTTTTTCTGTTTCTACACCATTCCTGCCTTCAGTGTATGTACACACAGGATCATGCAAGGTAAAACACTGAGAACACTCACCATCATGGAGGTCAGGCAAACCAAAACTGATGATCAAATGAATTCTGATCTGTGGGAGCCAACTCATCTAAAGAGATTTTTGCTAGAAAAATCAGATTTGTATTTTTATAGAACCCCCTGGCCCCCCGCGGATGGTTGTACAGAAATTCTTCTGTTGTGTAAACCAGTCGTTACATCAGCTCTCCAGGTGGCTGGTATCCGCCGATCTTGCAGGTGAAGATGCTGCGTGTGGAGGTCCTGAGCTGGTGTGGTTACTCGTGGTCTGTGATTGTGAGCTGGTTGGATGTACTGCCAAATACACAGAACAAACATTGGAGATGTCTTATGGTTGTGAAATGAACATTCAGTTCACAGGCAACAGCTCTGGTGGACATTCCTGCAGATAGCACGCTCCCTCGAGACCTCTGTGACATCATGTTGTGTGATCAAACTGCACGTTAGAGTGGCCTTTTATTGTGACCATCCCACTGCACACCTGTGCAGAAATTATGCTTTTCAGTCAGCATCTTTTAACAAATCTGCGACCAAAATTTGAGAGAAACATATCTACTGACTGAATTAAGCCTGAAAAAACAAAAAAAAGTGTTCAAATTTTTTGCTCAGTGTAGATTTACTCAGGTACTCCCCTTAAGGGAGGGCCTGCAGGCCAATTCTAGCCTGCGATGTAGTGCTGGGTCTAATTTACAATGAAAATAAATTGGTTCAAACTCTGATATTTTTTTGTACTTTTAATGAAAATAAGATGCCAGAGTGCATAAAAAAAGCTTCAAAATGGAGTTTGACTGTGATCAGAGTGGTCAGAGGTCCAGGCTAATTATTTGTTGAGTATTCTAGTGAGGCGGCACGGTGGTGTGGTGGTTAGCACTGTCGCCACACAGCAAGAGGGTTCCTGGTTCGATCCCGGGTGTGGGAGCCCTTCTGTGCAGAGTTTGCATGTTCTCCCCGTGTCAGCGTGGGTTTCCTCCAGGTGCTCCAGCTTCCTCCCACAGTCCAAAGACATGCAGGTTAACTGGTGACTCTAAATTGTCTGTAGGTGTGAATGGTTGTCTGTCTCTATGTGTCATCCCTGTGATAGTCTGGTGACCTGAATAGAAATTCTGAGAAACACATTTTATGATTGAAAACATTTTTTTCCCCAACTAAAATGAACTTCCCTTAAGCCGTGTGGGCGTCCCTGGGCCTTTACACCACTCCCCATTACTGACTGAGGATGTCCTGTTAGGGGTGTGTGTGTGTGTGTGTGTGTGTGTGTGTGAGAGAGAATGAGAAATGGGAGGGTAGACACTCGTTGCTTACTTGATTGCTCAGATAGCCCTCAACATCAGAGCTGGAAGGAGCCATCTCGTGTCTGTAGGCTCCACTCGGAACAGAAGATAGCGAGGCCTCAGGGGGGACCTGCCCTCTTCATCTCCAGCACACTAATCATCATCATAATCATCACAGCAAGGTACAGTAAATTCCAATTGTATATTTGTGGAGATGTAACAACCTGTTTCCACCTTAAATTTGTATAAAAGAGGAACTCCACTGATTGTACACATAAATGCAGTTTACAGGTGTTGGGGAGAACTACTGCACATGAAATAAGTTTGGAGTCAGATAAATTGCTTTAAGTGATGTCACTTGAGTCAGCATCAGTTTTGTCTAAAGCAGTGGCTCCCAACCGGTCCAGCCACGGGGTCCAGATTCCTCCTTAGTCATTAGTTAAAGGCCCACACATTTTAATACATTCAGTGTCATACTTTGGCCATGTTGTCAAGTTAGTTTAACATCCCTGTCATGTAGCTATCCGGTAGTCACTAACTCTACAGCAGGAAACACACTTCAAAATTAAAACTGTCCATGTACATGTTTGAAAATGTAAAAAACACTGCAGGTGTGTAGTTAGAAAGAAGTTTGCCAGACGTCTGTAACTCACTGCTCCTCATCTGATTGATGCCTGTCTACACGTATACAGATACTTTTGTAAACTGATGTTTTCAAACCTGACAGCAGGTGGCAAAAACAAAATCCTCCATCAAACACAAATATACATACTTGAGCCCCTACACAAATTAAGCGACACAAGATTATGTTAGCATAAAATGAACTTAAAAACTGCTCAACAGCGCTAACACACGGAAATTACCACAAGAGCAATGTCACTTACCTCTCCCACAAAGCACAACAGCAAAAGGGGAGAGGCAAGGTGAACGTAGGGATATGAGTATCAAACGTTCCACATGTTGAGTACGAAGGTTGATGCGTGTCAGGTAACAACTGAAACAGATTTTGTGTAATTGATATACTTGACACTACAAATGTACATCTGACCTTGCCACACACATTACTGCTGCACAACTGACCCTGTTACACCTCAAAGTGACAAATATGTTCTGAACCGCATGATGTTGGTTGTGAAATGGCTTTCTAATAATCTGTTGTGGTGTTGGTATCCACCCCTGAAAATCATTTGAGTAACATTTCAACCCAGCACGTCTGCCACCCTCCTCCTCCTCCTGTGCCTCTGTTATGTAACGTCTGAAAACATAATCAGATTAAACCCAAAGTAAATCTGAACTCTGTCCAGATATGAAACAGTTTCCTTCTGCTTCTCACTCCAGACCATGAGCGCTCACGAGCACAACCACTCACTGGACCACTATAACGGCACGCCATGGTTTATCTTCGAGTGCACCCTCCAGCTGGACACCGCTGTAGACTACCGGCGCATCTGCCTCTTCCTGCTCTACCTTTTCATCTTCATGGTGGGCCTGCTGGAGAACGCGCTGGTCGTCTGGGTCAACTGGCGCAGACGCCACTCGGCCAACGGGGTTCTCTTCTGTATCATCAACGTGAGCCTGTCGGACCTGATGGTGATTGTGATCCTGCCTTTCTTCATGATGGAGGTGACCGTGGACAAGGTTTGGCTGTGGGGCCGCTTCCTCTGTAAGGTCACCAACCTCATCTATGTGGTCAACTTCTACAGCAGCTCCTTCTTCCTGGCCTTCATGACCCTGGAGCGCTACCTGTCCCTGACCAGACCCACGTTCCCTGCCCTCTTCCCTGTGGTGGGACAGCGCCGCTGGTTGCTCTGTGGAGGCCTGTGGGTGCTCTCCTTGCTCCTGGCTCTGATGGAGAACGTCCACGTGGATCTTCTGGAGTGGGACGAGCCGGGCTGTTACATGATGCCTGAGCACAACTACACAGAGTGGTTTGCCTCTGTGGCTTTCCTTTGCCTGATCTTCCAGTTCCTGGGCCCTGCTGCCGTCATCATCACCTGTAACGTGCTGATTGCTCGTGCAGTTAAAACAGCACCAGATGTGCAGGGCCGACGGGACGTGTGGCTGGTGCACGTGTACTCCCTGGTGTTTGTCGTGTGCTGGCTGCCCTACCACCTGGTCATGTTCCTGATGATCATAGATGACCTGGACCCCTTCATCCTCAGCTGTAACACCATAGAAGTCCTCTACTTCACATTCAGCGTGGTGCAGGGCATATCTCTGTTCCACTGCGTCGCCAACCCCATCCTCTACAATTTTCTAAGCAAGAGCTTCCGTGACAACATGATCAACACTGTGATGAACTACATTCCTAGGGATGCAACTATGGTTCAGACGGGAGCAGGAACCCAGCCAAACGCTCCCAACGGAGGTGGGGGAGACCCGGGGAAGCAACGCAAGCTAAGTAACACCAGCACCAGTCAGTCTGATGTCGGATCATAAAAATGAAGCTGAGATAAGAAAGGCGAGAGCTTCAGGAGTGAGACGTTTAAAGATCTGACAGAACTGAATCCACTGTTGGTGCTTCAGAATACCAGAGGCACAGACTGTACGTCTCACTCTGGTCAGACTCATTGCGCTGTTTGTTCCGAAACAGATGGGCTCACAAACACCTTCCTCTCATAATCCACTTCCTGTTTTTTTTCCCTTTTCTGTCATTTATCTGATCACAGTTTTAAACGGAGGAAAGCAGGAAATGTTTGATGTTTTTTTTCCCCCCTCAAAGCTGCTTGACTCCCACAGGAACTCATGGCAACCTTTAAAATCTCCTGACACAGAAGAAGACGAAGAATAGTGCCACACCAGGAATGTGCATAAACAAATCTGCTGTCCGTCTGTGGAGAGCCAGATAAGAGCAATCCTCATAACCACATAAACATCTTGCAAATGTGAAAATGTAACTGTGTTGTTTAATTACAAATCTAGCAGATAATATATAGTTCAAATTATTAATGCGAGAGGTGTGGACTCAAGTCCTACATGTGATGACTTTAACTAGACCTGACAAAATCAAAAATGACTTGGACTTTGACACCAGTGACTTTGACTTTACTTGGACTTGAGCCTTTTGACTTGAAAGTACTTTATATACTCCCCCAAGCCCAAATATTAAAAAGTATGTTATTTAAAAATAGTGGAATGAATCAATTAATTAATCTTCATACAGTAGAAGTCAGTCGGCACGTCCCAAGTTAAGATAAACAGACTGTAATCTGACATGGAAGCTAAGCAATGTACTGCTGTGGACGGGTCAGCAGCAAAACATATTTTAGCCACCTTAAAAAAGCCCCACCTTAAAACACCAATATCAGTTTAAGTGTGCACTCTATTGAGAGTCTTTTCACTGCTTTACCTTAATGTCAGACAGCGATGTCTAACAGGAAAATTAATCTGTTACATCAATCTTCTTAATGCCAAACTCCATTGAAAAAAACAGTGATTTAACATGGCTAAACACAGGAGCGGCTGGTCTACCGCTACTTCCAACAGTTATTTTGTTTGTGTTATTGTGTCACTTTGGGGTTTAAAAGGGTTAGTGCGAATTCACCAAAGTCACACAATAACACAAAGAGACTAACTGATCAAAGCAGTGCTAGACCAGCAGCTCCTGTGTTCAGCAAGCTTAAATTACTGTTTTTCTCAATGGAGTCTGGTGGCTTTGATAAAAACATAAATGGGCCTTTAGCGCCTACCCCACTGACATGGGCTGTATGATGAAAAGCTAAAGCAGGGACAATACTCTCAATATGATGTACATTTAAATGAATATAGATTTTTTTAGGTGGCTAAGTTATGTTTTGTTGCTGCCCCTGTCCACAGCAGTACATTTTTAGCCTCCATGTTGGACTCCAGCCTGCTTCTCCAAACTGGGGGTGTGCTTGCTGACGTCTACTGTATGTAATACACTGACTATGGATAAATACCTCATATAAACCCACTTAAAAAAATCTTTATTATCCCTTTAATTCATCAGATGATCCACTTAGTTTGTACGAATCCGACAGCATCCGATTAAGTCGCAGGAAAGAACAACGAGAGCTAACGTTACTTTACTGAACGCCAGTTAGAAAAAAATTTGTTTATGTATAAAAACTACACAGGCTCAACAAAACTAATTGCAGAATTCAAAACTTGAAAATTGAAATTGAAAATTACAGAAGAAGCAACAACTTAAGACTTTGTTTGACATTTTAAGTTGCATAAAGAACAGTAAGCCAAGGCTAATATAAACATAGTTAGTGAGCTAATGCTTAGCTAACGTTAGCTTAACGGTTGAGGAACTTTTAACAATCTTGTTTTAACAAACAGCTCCTAAAAACTAAGTTAGATTTAAGACTATTTAAGGCTTTTTAATGCCACTGGAAATGAAATTTAGGACCAATTTTACTCTAACTAAAATTAAAGGAAGAAAAAAACACGAACCAACATAAATTACTTAGGGCTCAGGACAATTTTTCTGAAATGTTTAATGTAACATAAAACCTGACATCTTCGGTAAATGACCTAGCATTTGTTGGTTGGTTTTCTTTGCAATTTTGTGTTTCCACTGCCTTAATTCCCATTGTGACGCAAGTTTGAAAAACCTATTGCATAAAATATAAAGAGCCTCTCAAGCCAGTTTTCGTCGAATTTGCATTTTCTCATGTCAATCATCTCCTCTGAGCATCGCGGCCGGAAAATGTGAGTGTTGTTGTTTTAATTATTCTGGTCCGCGGATGTAAATGCAAGAGGCATTCTGTAAATTATTTTTAAAAATAAATTATGCCAATTATTCTGAGATTTTTTCAATGCAACATGTTGCTAATTGCCTAGCATTTTTAAGACTTTTGACAGACTGATATAAGACATTTAAATTGTTAAAATTAAGGCTTTATATTGTAGATTAATACATTTAATGCCATTCAGAACTTTAATGAGCTGCAGGAGCCTTTAACAAATAAACACAAATTTTTAAAAGCACTTGTGATTTTTGTAAGTGAACTATTGGCATTAACTTAAATTAGTTGACAAGTGCATTGGGACTTGTTCAGGACTCGAAGCTCAAAGTTTAGGACTTGGGTTTTAAATGAGAAGACTTGAGACTTGCTTGTGACTTTAAAAACACTGACCCACCTCTGTTAAATGCCTATTCATCTCTTCTCTGGATGCTGCTGTAGTCTACATGTGCTGTAACATGGCCTCCTGTTAAAATGCAATAAAACTCCATCAAGCACTGATTTTATCACTTCAAGCTGCAGAACCTGAGTTTGTACTTTGTAATCACGGAGGCACAGCAGTGAAAATGAACAAGCCTGGGGACGTGCGTGTTCGGAAACTTAATGTGTTTATTTAACGGAGACACTTTGCTGTTGTTGCACTTAGCTATCTCCCTTCTCGCAGTCTTTTTCACATTTACTTCCATTTCGGTCTTCATCTGGAATGTGTCGACAGTTTAAATGATAAGAAGGCAGGAGGAGGAAAAGGGGGTGTCAGTCCACGGATGGCACAATGGCAGGAAGAGACTGGGCTTTAAAAAGAGGCAAAGGTCACAAGCCCCTGGAAGCAGGAGGTTCACAATACTACGCAGATTTCTGCAAGTTCATCACTGAAATTCTGATGATGGATGGATTTTGTGGATCAGGTCATTGAAAACAGATTAAAACATCATGTCCGGGTGGATAACAGTCTTCCTAGAGGCGTTTATTTAATTCTTTTCAAAAACAATAATTTAAAAAAAAGGCCAACATTCATAGATAGCTTTAGAAACAGATAATGGCATGTATAAAGGCATTAAAAAATAACACATAGTTACAATGTCATCATAAATATGAGGTAAGCCACAGATATCACACAGACGTGATGGGCACTTAAATAGTTCTACAGAACGACATGCTTTAAACGCTCTAAACAAGTGAATACAGCATGTGACTAATGGCAGATAGACAGCTTTCATAAAGACGCCTCCTCAACATTAAAAACATGTTTTATGTCTCAACGAGAAACAAAATGAACTTCATAACGTGGCTGGTCATGCTGTATTTGTAAAGTGAAAAATGAAACTTTAAAAGACATAAAAAAGTGTGAAAATAGTGACTGCAAATATAGGAAAATAATTTCTATGCTACAATGAGGTGCTACTTTAATAATAACAGTGTAATTATCAACCACTGACATGAAAACCTATCGTCATATTTAGGTTGTAAAGATACAGACTTGTTCAGAGTACATATTACAGGCAGAGCAGAGCGCTGCATGGCGGTCAACGATCCACCAGCTTCCCTTCTCTCACTGACACAGAACAGGATACACTGCCACCAAGTGGCTTCTTTTTATCTTAGTTCAAAGAGGCCGAACCTCTGAACAGGTCGACTCAGTGAACGGCATCTGACAGATAAGATGTCCACTACAATCTAAAAGTCTAAGTCTATTACAGAGCTGATTAATCGATTAGTCGACTGATTGAAAAGTAAAATGTACTTTAGGAATAAGAAGGAATACTTCACCCAGAAAATGACCATTTGTGTATATATGTCTTTAACCGTTAAAGGATTTTTTGAGACAGACAGACAGAGGGATGTCGTACGCAGTAAAGCCCTCTGAGGCAAATTGTGATTTATGATATTGAGCTTTATAAATGAAATCAAATGGGATTGAATTGTATATCAATGACTTACTGCGTGTTACAGCCGAAATACATGGGACACAAAGGCTTGTCCATGTGTGCACCCCACTGCTCATTGTTATATGTACGCGGCTGGTCTATTTTTTTTTTCTCCGACAGGTAAAAACTACATAAAACTGTGTAAAAAACATGTACAACCTGTCTACAAATCATTAAAAATACCTCATTGTACAAGAGGCAATGATACCAGCAGAGCAACCGTGTGTGTGGTTTTAAATTTCACTTTAAAATGAATCAATCAAATCAATGCATCCTGTAGTTAAAACACTCCTTTTAATTAATTTAGCACCAGTTAATAAGGCCTATATCAGTGGTTCCCAACAGCTCCAGCCACAGGGTCCAGATTTCTACGTAGTCTTTAGTTCAAGGTCCACACAGTTTAATATATTAAGCTTCATACTTGCGTTTGGTTATGTTGTCAAAAAGCTAGTTTGCTGTCTCTGTCAAGTAGCTGTCCATAAGTCCCTCACTCTACAGCAGGAAATGGCACTTCAAAATAAAAGCTCTGTGCCAAAAATTCACTGCACTTCAAAATAAACTGTATTTTACAAATTTGACACATTTGCGAGTCACTTACGGTCTATTCAGAAAGGACCCATGACCCACCAGTTTGGAACCACTGGCCTATATGTTTCCAATCCCGGCAGACCCAACTGCATCATCACCTGGAAAACTCACTGCACACACAATAAAGCTGGCAGCAGCCACATGCTACTGAGACGAGTCTGTGTAGCAGGTAAAAAACCCTGCTCCGCCCCGCCTACCTGACACATCATATCTGTGTCCCATGAATTTCAGCTGTTACCTTGAATACCTGAAAGAAAACAGTTCTTCTTCAGGCCTCCACGGTGAACGGAGAATCTAAAAAACGTTCTTCATGAATTGAAGTAAATGGTCCACATTTAAAAACATCATTTATAAACTCTCACACAACTCGTGCAGTATGATCCAAGTCTCATTTATCCAGTTGCACGCTCAGTTCTCCAAAACATTACGATTTAAGACATGTACATACGACCAGGTAAGCTCAGGTTGGGCTACTGGTAGGTAGAAGTGATTTATATTCTTACGTTTTAGCAGAAATACATCTGTTTGGGAAGTGCTGAGCATAAGACTGGATATATGAGACTTGGGATATACAACACAAATTGTGTGGGAGTTCGTAAATGGATGTTTTGATGTTTTTTTGTTGTTAAATGCAGTCTCTGTTTACGTCAATTCATGAAGAATGTTCACTTTTTTTGGATTCTCCGTTTACTGAGGAGGCATGTGAGGAAACAAAAGATTTCTTCATGAATTCAAGGAAACGTGGTAAGTAACTGATATACTGTCATTTTGCAGCTGAAGTATTCATTTAAGACATTTATTAAGAAAAGATGATGATTTGCTGCATTTTTTTCTATCATCATAAAGTGAATATCTTTGGGTTTTGGACTGTTCGTGGAATAAAACAAACAATCTGAAGCTGTCACCTGACATTTAGAGCAAAAGTGACAACCATTTAAATTTTTTTCAGGCATTTTACAGACTAAACGATTAATCAATTCATTAAAAAAATCAATAATAAAAATAATCATTATTTTCAGCCCTACTAGTCTATTGTATACAGTTTGTGGTCCACGACAACCAGACACAGGAAGTGTCAGAGAGAGGGAAAAGGGACGAGGAGAGGAACACCACGCCGACACATCAGGCGTCCACAGTGGGCAGCGGTTCTTTAGAGTGATCATTGTACATGAAGGTCTGCTCGATGTTGAAGTCCGGGGGCAGGTGGTCCTTGTGGAGCTCCATGTGCGATGACACCAGCTTCAGCGTGGAGAAGTAAAGGCCGCAGACGGTGCAGCGGTACATGAGGGCACCGGCGTGCGTCTTCAGGTGGCAGATCATGGTGGAGCGGCCTCTGAAGAAGCGCAGGCAGACTTTGCACTGGTAGGGTTTCTCCCCGGTGTGGATGCGCAGGTGGTAGGTGAACTCACCTGAGTGTGCGAAGCGTTTGCCGCAGTAGCGACACCGGTACCATTTCCCACGGACGCCTGCTGCCCCGACTCCTCCGTCCTGAACTGAACTCCCATTGGTCAACATCCCAGAGGGCAGGTTGTGCATTGACCCTTGGAAAAACTTATCTGGTATGCTGAAGCTCATTCCCAGCCCCAAACCTAGGCTGCTCATTTTGACAAGGCCACCAACTTCCCGTGGAGAGGAGGAAGACGGTGGGCACTCCAGAGACTGGTCAGCTTTACGTTTGCCCAACCAGCTCGGACTCCCGACACCTCCCCCGGCCCCCAGGGACTCGTTGGTGTGCAGGCTGAGGTGGTACTGAAAGGCAGAGGAGGAGCGGAAAGTCTGCGGGCACAGGAAGCAATGCAACTCCTCCACTCCCGCCATACCACCTCCCCCGACTCCATCCGCCCCGACTCTGTAGGCCCTCAGCGCCGACCGCTCCCGCTCCTTAGCCGCCGCCTCCTCGGCGTGTACAGTCATATGTCTATCCAGCAGGGAGCGCTCTACGAAGCAGCGGGCGCAGTGCGGACAGGTGAAGACGGGCAGAGAGAGGTGGGCGAGGGCGTGCCACAACAGGGAGCACAGGGACAGCTGGGGGAGGTGACACACACCACAGCTCAGGCTCTGGGGACACACGTGGCCCAGCAGGTGGTCTTTGACCGTCTGTGTAGGAGGTAGGAAACATAAAATAGATATGAGAATCTCATGATTAAAAAGTGACTCCATATTTTTAATATCTGTCCACATTACTGTCAGATTTGTTTTTGTGAAATCAGTTGTATGTAGTATGTATTATGTTCCATTTTAGATACTGTAGCTTTCCACTTTATTTATTGGTTCTTATATTATTCCAAGAATAAATAATTATCTGCATGCTACATCTACAAGTTGTCTTGAAAGAGAATGAGTCTGATCTAAGCTTCCTGCCGAATTAAACAGACTGTATCATATATACAAAATATATTAAGGCTGCAACTAATGATTATTTTTTAGGAATAATTAAGCTGTAGTTGTATTTTATGATTTAATGACTGTGCTTACATGCACAAAATATTCAGGATTGTGACTTTAATCCTAAAGAAGACAAGTTTCCCCACTAAACTGTTCACATGGCTAATGAAAATGAATACTGACCCTTTACATGCAGCCGTGCACACTCGGATTAACATGCTCTCATGTGTAAAATATTTAAAGTAGAACAGCTGTTGCTTCTGCCAGGATTTTTGCAAAGTTTTCCAGCGGTGGCAGACTTGTTGGATCGCACAAACGCAGCCTCCCTTGTTCATTCCTTTAACAAGGAAAAGGTCGGCCTTGTGATATTTGCGCATATCTAAAGACCTGTTGGCATCCAAGTCTTTTGTGATGTTTAAAAGTGTGTGTTTCTCCTTCTGACCAGATATGCGGATTTTTGTTATGGGCATGCATCTCTACCACAACCTTTTAAATGTCCACTCACCTGGAAGTCCTTGCTGAGAGTTTTGTTGCACACTGCACACTGCAGCTCGGAGCTCGGCCCCTGGCTGCTGCTGGTCAGCGCCCCCTGTGGTATCGTGTAACTGGAGGCTGTCTGGTGGTGGTGACGCAGCAGTTTGTTTTGGCTGCAAAACTGCAACTGACACATGTCGCAGGTGAAGAGCTGCAGCCCAACGTGGGAGAGGGAGTGTGTGACACCGTCGGTGCGGTCTGGGAACGAGGCTCCACACAGTCTGCAGAGCCCCAGCTCCGTCAGGTGAGTCTCGGCGTGTCTTCTGATGGCGGCAGGGTCTGCTGGCAGAGGCACCGCGCAGGCTTTACATGACAGTGTGTTCCCCGTCACCTGGAGGAGTGAAGAGGATTATTTCTGTCGTGTGGACTTGCGTTTATCTGAATATTTTACTGCTGACAAATGCAAACATTACCTGGCTGCTTGAGTTCCCTCCCTCTCCATTCTCCACGTACACAAGGTCATCTTCATCTTCCTCCTCATCTCCTTCCTCCATAAAGTTCTCATCGTCGCTCAGCTCGATGATCTCACCTGCCAGCTGTCTCCACTGCTCCTCCTCTGTACCCTCTATTGCTCCATTCCCTTTCAGAGCCTCCCTCTCCTCCTCACTCACTCCCGCTTCCACCTCTGCAAACATCAGCCTGCCGTCCCTCTGGACGTCCACCACGCTGCCCTCCACTGATCCCACCTGCAGGCTGGCCAGAGGCTCTCCTGAGGATGACGTCGGGTCACACGCCTCAGCTCCGAGTTGAGCCGAGGAGTCAGGGAAGGAGCAGGAGACAGACTGTGCAGCATTGCTGCTCTGCGGCAGAGAGCTTCCTGCGCTCTCAGAAACCATTTGTCCATCTGTGTCTCTGTCCTCACACCTGCCTTCGGCCTCATCTTCCAGCCCCTGCTCTGTCTTCAGCTGCAGCACAGGCCCCGGAGGCAGCACGCCATCACTCTGACTGGAATGACTGTTGGCTAGAAGACTGTGTCCTCCTTGTAGTTGATGATCTGCTGCCATCTGCCCGTAGCCGATATGAGACTGCATGTCCTCTGCCTTCAGGTCCAGAGACAGAGCCACACTGTGAGTGTCCCGGCTGATCCTGGCTGCCCTGGCTTGGAAGAGAGGTGAGGGAGCGGCAGCAGGGGTCGGGGCAGCAGACGGACCAGCTGGTGAAGACAGAGAGGAGCAGGAGGCGGCAGAGGAACACACAGATGATGCAGATACAGAAGCTGCACTAACAGCAGCCACTGTGGACACAGCAGCAGCAGCAACCATGCTAGAGTCCAGGGCGAGGTCTCCAGGACTGCCTGCTTTACAGTTTGCAGACACTGAAGTCTGCAGGTCTGGGAAGGTGGCGTGACAGGCCCTCACCAGTTCACTAACGCCCAGCCTCTCTGCCAGCTCATACAGCACCCCGACATCTATGAGGTCAGTCAAGATCTCCCCCGTGTACACAAATGTCAGCACCTTCTCAAAGTTGGCTGGGGAGATGAACTCCAGAGAGAAGGCAGCGCTGGACGAGGATGGAGCCCGGGCAAACAGGTTGCGGAAGTACGACCCAGCACAGGCCAGCACCGCACGGTGTGCTGCGAATGTGCGGTTACCAACCTGCAGGAACACATCGCAGTATCGACGTGACTGGCGGCAGCTGTTGAGTTCAGCGAGAAGGCTGGCAGCATGGCTGGGACCCTGCAGCCGGATCCTCATCTCTGCTGCTGCTGCTGCAGTCCTGGTGCGCTACAATCTAACTGCAGGAGCAGAGAAGACAGTCAGTCACAGCACAGGAAGAATATGTGTGGTACGTACTGTAACAGTCAGGTAACACTTTCTCTCTTTCTTTCCGAATGATACACTTCAGATTTGAATGTTTAAAGACATGTTTTCAACCAAAAACCCCAGAATGTTCAGTTTACAATGACATACACCTATATAACAACACTGCTAAGTGACTATGGTCCTATGAAATCACCAAGTATGAGAACAAATCAATGACTGGATGTGACTCGGGCAGCTGTGGCTCATTCGGGAGATCAGCTGTTCGATCCCCGGCTCCTCCATTCTACATGTTGAAGCATCCTTGAGCAAGATACTAAACCCCAAATTGCTCCTGATGGCTGTTCCGTGAGTGGTGGTGCGTGAGCGTGGTAAAGCTGTGTAGGAGGTGGCACCTTGTACGGACCTTGTAGCCTTGGCCACCAGTTTGTGAATGGGTGAATGTGACATGTAGTGTAAAAGCGCTTTGAGAGACGCTGTATAAGTGCAGGTCCATTTACCAAAAATGAACCAGAGATAAAAAACAGACGTAACTGTTTTTGGAGCCAAAGAAGAACAAGTAAAATTCATTTCTCTGCTCTACAAACCAAGTCAGAAAAAGGTGCAGTTGTGGACTGACTCAAAATAAAAGCCTGAATTTCAACATCCACATTAAGACAATTCTAAAATCTAGGCACTATCATCTAACAAATATTTCAGAAGGATTTAGGTTTCCAGCAAGACTTTAATACCAAGAACGATCAGACCACTCCAGTTCTCAGACCTTTTTTTCGCTGGCTTCCTGAGTGTCAGAGAATTAATATTTAGAGCCTGCCATGCACACACTTCTGATCTGCTGCTGCCTTACAAACCATCCAGATGTCTCAGATCATCTGGGTCAGGTCTGCTCACTGTCCTCAGACTCAAAACTAAACATGGAGAAGCCGCAGTCAGTTTCTATGGACCACAAATCTGGAGCCAACTCCCAGAAAACTTTAGATTTTCTTCAAGTCTCAAGTTTTAAATTATAACTTAAAAATTTTGGGTTTCTTCATTTACATATTAAAGCTTATTTTTGGTCTAATTTTGGATTTTACTCTTTTAAATCCTCCCTATGTCTGTCTTTATATTGCTTCATGCTCCCTTTATGTTTTGTCTTAACACCTTTTTATCTCTTTTGCACTACTCTTTGAATAGTGGTTGTAATGCATCAGCAAGTACTAAGTAGAATAATTTTATGTGGCCTTAAATCAGTGACTGACAACTCCAAAGTGCATTGCCATTTTTAGATAAAGTAAACGTGAATAAGGAATAATGTTGGCTTTGGAAACGTCATGGATATTTGTCACTTAGGTTGCTGTCTTAAACTGTAAGTGGATTACTTGAAATAGCAAATAAAACATTGATTAATTTACAGTGACATGTCAGAGAATACAGAGTGGGTGCTGGATTTATAAGCATTTAAGACCTTTGTTAAGAGATATTTTAAAGTGCTTAAGAAAAGAATAACTGTCATTAACTGTACAACCAGTGATGAAGAGATAAATGAAGCTGTGGTTACTCCTCCTCCACCTCTAGCACTCCATCACACATAAAAACAACTGTATGTTTCCAAAGAGCCGCTGTGTGACATCAGTTTGTTTTGACATGCTTTATATTCTTAATATACATTTTAATTTCAGCTCTTTATCATGAAGCTAACGGAGCTTAGCCAGTTTTTTCCCCCAGACACGTTATGACAACTCAGTTCACTAAATCAGACACATTTTACAGAATTATTCGGAACAAAAATCTCCCAGGTTTTAATATAAACGTGTCGTTAGTGTTAATATAATTACTCACTCATTAATAAAGATGTCTGCAGGTGACGATTACTCCTCTCTTTGTTTTCAAAGGGAGTCTGGTGATCGTCCACGGACTGTAAATCTTATAAATTATTACAACCCCTCTGATCGACCGTCGCTTTTTGATGACGTATGTCAACAAAACTGTACTGAGGTCGCCCCCTACAGTCTGACAGAGTCACTGCAGTGACAAGGCTCACACAACACAGTGGGTGGAGGAAGTTTTATAGTACATATGCTCCAGATTTTGATTATAAAAGTGGAAGAAAAAATATTTTAGAATATAAAAATAATGTATATACTACTACTACTACTACTACTACTAATACTAATAATACTAATAATAATAATAGTTACAATAATAATCTTAAAAAAGTCATTTAAAAAATAATTAATAATTAAAAAATTATTTGAAAAATTATTTAAAAAATTAATAAAAGCCTAACCCCGACCCTACACCAAAAAAAAACTAAACTCAAAAAAAAAAAAAAAAAATTCCCACCCAAAAAATATTGAAAAAAACAAAAAACAAAAAACAAAACAAAACAACAAACTTTCAGGATCTGCTCAACACATGGAGTGAAAATTAAATGTCAGCTAAGTGCAGTATAAGTGCAATTTATAATTTTTGAGTTTTTAGTTTTCAATAGTTGTCAAATATGTTTTAAAGTTGGTTTTGAAATGTTCCTCTGTTAATTAAACCAAAAAGAAGCAGCTTGAAAACAATCTACAAACACATGTTCACTAGCTTTCCCAAAGTGGTGGAGGAAGTATTCACATCCTTTACTCAAGTAAAAGTAACATGGTAAAAGTACTCTGTTACAAGTTAAAATCCTGCATTCACAATTCCAATGGTAAATTAGTCATTAGAAAGTATTCATATTAAAATATACTTACTAACTACCAAAAAGTAAAAGTAGGTCTACTCAGTATGTCAAATGGCCCATTTTAGAATAATATACAGTACATCCCAAAAGTTTGGACACACCTTCTCATTCAATGCGTTTTCTTTATTTTCATGACTATTTACATTGTAGATTCTCACTGAAGGCATCAAAACTAAGAATGAACACATGTGGAGTTATGTACTTAACAAAAAAAGGTGAAATAACTGAAAACATGTTTTATATTCTAGTTTCTTCAAAATAGCCACCCTTTGCTCTGATTACTGCTTTGCACACTCTTGGCATTCTCTCCATGAGCTTCAAGAGGTAGTCACCTGAAATGGTTTCCACTTCACAGGTGTGCCTTATCAGGGTTAATTAGTGGAATTTCTTGCTTTATCAATGGGGTTGGGACCATCAGTTGTGTTGTGCAGAAGTCAGGTTAATACACAGCCGACAGCCCTATTGGACAACTGTTAAAATTCATATTATGGCAAGAACCAATCAGCTAACTAAAGAAAAACGAGTGGCCATCATTACTTTAAGAAATGAAGGTCAGTCAGTCCGGAAAATTGCAAAAACTTTAAATGTGTCCCCAAGTGGAGTCGCAAAAACCATCAAGCGCTACAACGAAACTGGCACACATGAGGACCGACCCAGGAAAGGAAGACCAAGAGTCACCTCTGCTTCTGAGGATAAGTTCATCCGAGTCACCAGCCTCAGAAATCGCAAGTTAACAGCAGCTCAGATCAGAGACCAGATGAATGCCACACAGAGTTCTAGCAGCAGACCCATCTCTAGAACAACTGTTAAGAGGAGACTGCGCCAATCAGGCCTTCATGGTCAAATAGCTGCTAGGAAACCACTGCTAAGGAGAGGCAACAAGCAGAAGAGATTTGTTTGGGCCAAGAAACACAAGGAATGGACATTAGACCAGTGGAAATCTGTGCTTTGGTCTGATGAGTCCAAATTTGAGATCTTTGGTTCCAACCGCCGTGTCTTTGTGAGACGCAGAAAAGGTGAACGGATGGATTCCACATGCCTGGTTCCCACTGTGAAGCATGGAGGAGGAGGTGTGATGGTGTGGGGGTGTTTTGCTGGTGACACTGTTGGGGATTTATTCAAAATTGAAGGCACACTGAACCAGCATGGCTACCACAGCATCCTGCAGCGACATGCCATCCCATCCGGTTTGCGTTTAGTTGGACGATCATTTATTTTTCAACAGGACAATGACCCCAAACACACCTCCAGGCTGTGTAAGGGCTATTTGACCAAGAAGGAGAGTGATGGAGTGCTGCGGCAGATGACCTGGCCTCCACAGTCACCGGACCTGAACCCAATCGAGATGGTTTGGGGTGAGCTGGACCGCAGAGTGAAGGCAAAGGGGCCAACAAGTGCTAAACACCTCTGGGAACTCCTTCAAGACTGTTGGAAAACCATTTCAGGTGACTACCTCTTGAAGCTCATGGAGAGAATGCCAAGAGTGTGCAAAGCAGTAATCAGAGCAAAGGGTGGCTATTTTGAAGAAACTAGAATATAAAACATGTTTTCAGTTATTTCACCTTTTTTTGTTAAGTACATAACTCCACACGTGTTCATTCATAGTTTTGATGCCTTCAGTGAGAATCTACAATGTAAATAGTCATGAAAATAAAGAAAACGCATTGAATGAGAAGGTGTGTCCAAACTTTTGGCCTGTACTGTATGTTATACTATTGGATTATAATTAATTGTATTAACTGCTTCATATACTGCAGGCTAACTTAATCCATAATAATACATCATATATTATCAGTTGATTATATTTTGTATTACTACTCTGAATCTACAAACTAACTACAGCTAATAAATATATGTAGTGGAGTCAAAAGTGCAATATTGGCTTGTAAAATGTGGTGTAGGCTAGTAGTATGAAACATGGGCAGATTATGAGACAATGGGCCCCCGGGCACAGGTATGCAAGAGGCCCCCGCACCTCTCCTACATGTGTGAGACACTGACTTTGTCGTGATTATGCGTCTCTTCTTTGTTGTAGTTTTCATCTTTTTGTCATTCTGTGTCTCTTTCCAGTTCCTTTGCATCTTAATGTGGTCTTTTTGTCTCTCATCCTGGTAGGTATGTGTTAAATTGAATGAACTTTTTGGGTGTCGGTAGCTCAGTGTATTGTGCCAGCACCTAGCGGTGATGCCTCGCCGCAGCGGTCATGAGCTTGACTCTGGCTTGCAACCCTTTGCTGCATGTAGTACCCCTACTCTCTCTCTCCCCATTTCACACTGTCCTGTCCATTAAAGGCAAAAGCCCAAAAAATAATCTTTAAATTGAATGACATTTTGCAGGTGAAAGCCAGTGGGCCCGACACTGGGCCTGTGCTCGGTAGACTTGTTCAGTTCTCCATCCGTGAGTATAAAGTACTTTACAAGGGCACTTACTGTAAGAACTGCACCTGAGTAAATGTTCACATACATTCCACTAATACTAGCTTGGTTAAAAACACACAAATGTTATGCAGCAGACGGGTCGAGACACCAAGACAAAATGAAACACACCAAATGATCGTAATAATGCTACTTAAAAAAAGTTTATTTTATTCCAGTAACCATTTGTTTTAGCTCATGAGAGATTCACACAACCCACAAAGTGTCCGAAATAACAGTGACACCTGCAACTCCTCATACTTCACTGTAAACTCATGGGGCAGACCTACACACCAGTAACATGAATGTGAATAATGTCTTTATGTTGTCGTCGTCATCGTCCAGCCATCCCAAATCAAACTGTTAACAAATAGCCACATGTTTACATCATGTAAAAGCATTTTGTTTACTGGTTTATGCCTTCATGACATGTAGGAGAATAAGAAATTATGAGAGACAATGAAAAAAAAAAAACTTGACATATTTTCAAAACTACCAGTAGAAATCATTTACAAAATTGAGTCTTTGATTTTTCAGTTGTGTCTTCGTTACAGAGTTTAACATTAAGTATGTAGTATAGGTACATTTACAGTATATTAAAACGCCATATCTTTGACCTGTGAGAGTAACACTGACATATTTCATATTCCAAACCATTCATTTTTCTAGTCTAAGCAGAATAATCTCAGCTGATTCGTCACTGAAAAACAGTTTATATTGGCCAAACTGGCCTCGATACTGCTGCGACAGGCACACATAACTAACAACATGACGTACTGTAGGGTTTATTCGTAAAGCCAAAGAAAATAAGAGCTGTTTTGGTCCAGTCACAATAAATTTGAGTAAAAGCAGCACCCTCTCGATGTATTGACGGTACAGTCGTCTGATGCGGTTCGCTCTAAAACTTGTTGCTTTTCATCATCATAATTGGATTATTGCACTTCTTCTGGAGGAAGTGAAACAAGACGCAGTTTGCCTGCTCTAAAATTACAGAAGACGGCTACAAAGTTCTACTTGAGTCATTCTGAAATGAGGTCAGCAACAACACAGTATTTCAGCAACATATCTGTCATCAACAAATCGAATGAATATTGCTTTTAAGTTGTTTGATATGTTGTTCAGTCTTCAGGAACATTTTTTTTTTAAATCCTCAGTACTATGATATAGTCCTGTCATTTTCTTAAAGTACGCCCTTCTCCAAAGTATCCAAGTTTTTAAAAGGTTTCTAAACATGAAGCATCCTCCAGTCGTCACCAGCACCTTCGGTTTGCGCTACGACACCCGTTTCCTGGAGCTGGTTCGGCCCAGGCTGGCAGTGCTGGACCGGCGGGAGAGGATGGGTGTGGCAGTGGTGGGGGACGTCTCGTTGGGACAGCCGTGTTGGAGCAAAATATCAATGCAGCCTTTGCTCCCTGTTTTTCTTGCTATCCTCATGGCTGTCTGGCCCTGGTTATCTTTTGCTTTCACATCAATTCCGTACTGTGGAGACGAGAGAACATGATGTCAAGTCATTTATAAGATTATATACACAGCAAATATGGATTAAAGGTAGAACTGTGTGTGCAGAGAGTTGCAGCTCTTTGCTATGTGCTGCTGAAAACCAACAGCATCAAGTGCATTTCTTATTAAACCACATGATAAGTATTGCAGCACCCACGAGACAAAGCAGACGAGCATCTTTGTCTGTAAGACACAAGACCAGAATACTAACAGCAGATAACTCCCAGGCCCCAGAGTCCCACGTTAACTGCATGTCAATTAGTTTTTGGAAATTACAATATGGACTAAGGCGA